ACATTCTCCATAAAATCACTATTCAAAATGCATTTTTTTGCAATAAAAAATGGGCATCAAACGAGACTCTTAATATTTTATTGCGACAACGGTTGACGATCCACGATCGCCCGTGCTTCATATACATAATTTAATAGAGACGATATTCATATGAGCTCAAATAAATGCAATTTAACTTTTTATATTGAAATTAAAATAAATTTAGAAGATGTTCACAGTGGATGAATGCATGATTGAAAGTGATAAGAGAGAGAATACTAATCATCACCCATTGACTTATAGAGACCAAAAAAAATAAAATTATAATTATTTCAATGTTGAGTGTACATACAAGGAGAAAAAATAAAACCATTCAGGCTAAATAATATATCTATAAAAACCTTCAAGTTGGTAATCAAAAGCACTTTTCTTAGCTGTTAAATTTCTCACCCTAAAGATCCCTATTTGGAATGGAAAGAAGAAATATTGGATTTTGGCGTGGATTTAGGAGGATTTTAGAAAAGATTAAATAAAGGGTGAGTCTGTTTCTGCTCTTCAGCATAATTCAAGTCGTTGCCCGCACAATTCAAGTCGTTGCCAGCTGCAAATTTGAACTAATTCTCTCACAGTGGGGTTGTTGCTTTGAACAGAAAGGGTAAAATAATCAATTGTTTGGTAAAAAAAGATCACGCTCAGATAGTGCCTTTATAATAAAGTTTTAGGGGAAGAAGATGAAGTTGGATAGGGTGGAAAATAAAGTTTAAAAGTTTGGGATTGTAATTGGTACATTAAAAAAATTTTTGATATAATTTGTAAAAAAATAAAAATTTTGGATACTAAAATTGCAACTATAACTTTTTAATTTTGATATTTTTAACGAAAAATTTGATAGTAGGGGAGTTTTCGGCACAAGAGGTTTCAAATATGGGGTTTTCTGCGATTTTCAATAGGTACAATGATATATCGCAAATGAAAACTTTTGTAAGGAATTTTCTGCTATTAATCATTTTTTCAAATAATAGTTGTCGAACACGTGCTAAATGTGTTTTATAAATACACAAGGTGGCCCTTTCTATCACATATTTTCATTTTTTTAAAATCCCATATGGGAATCCGTTTGCATAGTTGAAAATCAAGTTGATCATTATCTATTGCTTTTTTATTTTTTTAAAAATATTTTTCACAATTGTATAGTAAATTTCGATAATTTCACTTTTAAATGCTTATTTTATTTATTTTTATTGATGAGTGTTAGTTTATAGTTTTTTGTTCACTTGAATTTCGTGATGTTATTTTTCGAGGGTTGTTACTCGTGTTACTATTATGGGATTTAAAATAAAAAATGGCGATTTTAGCATTTGAATTTCATATAATATCATATGAATAGTGATTTTGTCACGTCTTGTGTTAATACTATCTTATTTTATGGAGTTATATGAGGCACGTATACTTTGTTACCTTATTTTTTTGTCCCGTTTGATGTAAATTAAAATCGAATTTTTATTAAATTTTGATGAAAATTAATGAAACGTGTGTTTGAAAATTTTGAATTCGTTAAAATACGTTGTTAAAATTAAATATTATCTCTGATTAAAATTAAAATGTAGATTTTAATCCAAATGGGAGTATAGTGTTTAATTCGAATTTATAAACAGGGACGGGTGTAAACCAACTCCATCACGCCTCGAAAATTATATTCTATATCACTAATGTACCATTTTCATCTCTCTAGCAATATAAATTTGAAAATATTATACAGATCATTGTTCATTCTCAATTATTTCTTTAATTTCAACTTCCCTTATGTCAAAGGTATTGAACTTTTTATCGTCGAGCTCCTCTAAAATATCGCCACCTGTAACTATTCCAACGCGAATAAGAAAACGAAATGGGAAATGTGGATATTTTAGTTGACCCCACGAGGTAGGACAGGTGGGCCCATTTTGCATTCCTCAACATGATAAATATGGGTAATTTCCTTTGAAACTACCTCTATTTGTTGCCCCCTCCCTCTATCTTCTGTTCTAAATTTTTGAACTTTTCATACGAAGTGAGAAAGCGATTGACCAATCCATTTGAAGAATCAGGTTCGCACACATCCAATCCTCATTCTCACCACCGCTTTGCACTGTATCAAAACTGTTTTTGTCATTAATGGAACTCTAAATTTCATCTGATATATTTCGACCTCCATTACATCACCTCTAGGGTTTCATTTCTTGGTAAGCTCATCCACGGCTTTATCCAGTTGTTCTTTTTTTGAATGTTCTTCATTGTACCAGTAGCAGTTTACATTATTGGAAGTATCTCGTTGTTTCATAACGAACTAATATTCTATCTCCGGATTCGAAAGGAAGAAAAGTGTTGGGATTATTTGTTATAAATTGGATCAGTTAAGTCGTGAATAGCACTGATTGGTGTATATTTTTTAACTTTAATTTTTTTTTTTCAGATTCAAGTGCTCAGTAGTGATTTTGCAGTTGATGTTTTCGGAACTGAGGCTTTAGCAATTTCCAAGATGTACGTAAGCCATAAACTGAGCTTACAGGATTAAGAAATATTAACAATGGCCGAGTATCT